GATTTAATCGGGCGCGCTTTAGTCGAGCGCGGTTTTGTCGTGCCACGGACATGGCTGTGGTGGCCGAGGCCTGCTCAACATCACTCATGTCGGGGGCACCTGTGATGGCCAAGCACTAAGGACGTCCCTCAGACCCTCCCTCACTCTCATTATAACCTTCCTTCCTTCCTTCCTTCCCTCTTCACTCTCCTTTCTTCTTCCTTCCCCCCTTTCCTTATTTTTCCTTCCTTGCTCTCCTTCCATCTCTCCTTCTTTTTCTTTGTCTCTCCTCTTACATTTTCTGCTCCTTTTCTATCCCCTTTCGGATGCTCAAATGCAAAAGAGGAAACATTTCTCCTTGTGTTTTGTTTTTAGTTTGCTGTGCTGGCCATCCGCCAGTGAAAACGGAGTGCAGGGGAGCCGCGTGCTGCCCTCCCAAGCTCCATTTTCACTGACAGAGGGCTGCAGGAGACAGTCACGGCTGAAAACGGGTCCCAATTTTTACTAGCAGAGGCACTGCAGGCCAGTCCTTTACTAAATACAGGGCGGTCCCATGAGCCAGATTTAAGCATCCCGTGGGCCGGATCCGGCCCGTGGGCCTTTAGTTTGACACCCTTGGGCTTGGGAGGTTGAGGGAGTGATATATGGACTGTGGAACATATAGACCAATGTGTAGACTACTCACAACTAGATCCATCCTGAACTTTTGCTAGACTTGTGACCAGAAATATTTGCCACACATATAGATTTCTTGGTATTGAGAGGCTATAAGATAAACCAAGATGTAGATTGAGGGGTTTCCTGGATGCTTTCTGACCTTGGTTGAAAACGTTTTGTTACCCAAACTAGATACCATCATCAGTGCTAGTAAGGACTGGGGTTTATTTATAAACTGACAGCAAGCCCTACTCCCTTACTAACACTGATGATGTTACCTACCATATTTTTCTTTGTTCAGTCTTCAGGGCTGTGGCGCCTAGCGTGTGTTTTTGTTTCTTCTTTTCTTTTCAAAGAAAGTTATTTATTTATTTTTTGTTACATATTTTAACTTCTTTTGTGAACAACGTGTTGTCCTGCCCCCTCCTTTACATCATCTATTATTCATATTACCGTATTTTTCAGAGTATAAGACGCACCTTTTCCCTGAAAAAAGAGGCTGAAAATCTCAGTGCGTCTTATACACTGAATACAGCATTTTTTTGCCTCCTGAAACCCCACCCACTTTGCAAAAATGGCCCTGCATAGCCTTTAGGAGGCTTTGAGGGTGCTCCTGGGGGCTGGGGAGGGCAAAAATGAGGAAAAAACAGGCGGTTTTAGCTCAATTTCCCTCCCCCAACCCCCAGGAGCTCTCTATAAGCCTCCTAAAGGCTATCCATGCCCCTTTTTTTGACAAAAACAGGCCCGTTTTTGCTCGTCTTTGGCCCCCTCCACCCCCCAGGAGAGCTGTCCTCAAGCCTCCTAAAGGGTATTCATGCCCTCTTTTTTTAAATTTTAAATTGTAAATTGNTGTGTGTGTGTGTGTGTGTGTGTGTGTGTGTGTGTGTGTGTGTGTGTTTCTATCTGTACTGTATAATAGTATGCAACACAAATAATCTACAGACAGGTCTACTGCACATGAACCAAGGCTTAAAAGTATCCTAACTGCTGTGCTACATAAGTAATAATCTATTAATTATTATTAATTATGGAAGGTTCAGCCTCTCATTGTATTTGCAAAGCTTAGAGATTCATGCAGTTTATCTCTAATTGCACTTGAAATGTCTGCATTAAGAACACTTTTCTCCCAAAGAAAAGGACATTTCACCAAGTTTTTAAAATAATTCCAGGAACAAGTTACTGCTATGGTTTTAAAACCACAGTTGTCAGATCTCATGTCATATCACAGCTGTAATGGTGGAGAAACTTTATAAGAACAATATAATAATCTTAGGAGATAGTTGGTGGGAGGGCGTGGAAAGTTTGCTATTTTTGAGTACTGGGGAGAAGATTCTGATACAGGTTTTTCCCATTTTTAAAAAGAACAGAAAATTATTACTTTTCACCATTACAAACTTATAAAACTAAGGCCAAAATAGGAACTTAACCTTTTCTCTTAACCCTTGAAATTGCTTGGCTCAGAATAGTAACGTTAAAGACATTCTCGGCTGTGAATGTATGAACAAATTGATATTAAATCCAGCCATTTTAGATAACTACTATCCAGCATTCAAATTCCTCTTTAGGAAAAAGAGAAAGTAGTGGGGCAGAATTGTAGAGAATCCTTGGTGTAAAATTCTGTCAAAGAACTTCAGATAGTGGATTTTAGGAGAAGATACTTTTCTGCTATACCTCTCTGCCCCCTTTGGAACATCCTGGTGAGATGAGACCCACCCCCTTCTTGGCCTTCTGAAAGGGTCTTAGAACCTGAAGGACTGATGGGGAAGCTCTATGCTGGAGATGGTAGAAGGGATAAGAGAGAAGATGCCATGCCCTATACCATTTCTTTGTCCAGTTCAAGGCTGGCAAGGTCCATTGGTGCACAATGCTACTTTCTAGACCAGAAGTGTCAAAATCAAGGCCTGCAGGCCACATCTAGTAGTCAGATTTCTTGGAAACAATAAGGGACCGGTCTGCATAACTTCAGCCCATCCTGTCCCATCCCAGCAGGCACACATGTGCTCAGGAGGCAGTGGGTGCACCCTTGTACAATCCCGGTCCACGCCATCCCAGCAGGTGCACTCAGTCAGCCACCCCGACCATGCCCCTCCCCCTGGCCTCCACAGGACAACTACAATGCTGATCCGGCCCTCAATGAAATCACGTTTGACACCCCTGTTCTAGACCATCTGCTTTCAGTATAATCTCCCCACTCTAGGTAGTTAAATTAAAAAGGGATGTTTCTCAATCTTGTCCTTCCAGGAAGTAGAATGTGGAAATGAAGAAGCTAGCCATTTCTGTGTTTGCCACACTCCTTTGGAAATGGCTGGCTTCTCTCATTCCTTTCCTTGAGGAGGAATGGGGGGCCATCAGGGGTGGGTTTCTCGCCCCGTTCCAACCGGTTCGGTTGGAACAGGGCCGGTGGCGTCCTTGTGCACGTGTGCAGTGCACGCATGCGTACTAGCGTCTGTGCGATGCTCCAGCTGCTCCTGGAGGATCGCGCAGGTGCTGTATGCGTTCTGTGCATGCGTGGAAGCGCAGAACTCGTCAAACTGGGTAAGGAGTGCGGGCGGGCGGGCCCT